TCCCTCTTGGGAGGCAAACACTTAACCAAACGGCTAAGTGGACTGGGGTGAAAGTTAAGCCCCAAGATGAGCACTTAACCCCACCCCAACACGGAGTTCTATAATGGTTTGTATAGTCTGCTCGCATCTTGCTATTTGAGATGGCATCCGGAGAGGTCCTCACCTGCAGTCCAAAGAGCCAGATTTTATGGCGTCTCGGTGACTGCAGCTGGTCTACGCGCGGGTAATGTAGGTCAGATTCAAATAGAGCACAAGGGGTGTACCTACTAGAACGCAACTTTTTAGACTGCGCTGCGACAATCTGGTCAGAAGTTGAAGCGGTGTGACTTAAGGAAGTGGTGAAACGTCTGCAAAGGGACATTGCTGCGACTTGGAGGTTAGTCTGAGTATTGTTCCGCTGTGTTCGGGTCGTGGCTTGGTCGTTTTATTGCGTTTATTGACTGTTATTGCGGGACCCTTAGGCGTGTTAAGGTTTCGAGGCGACGAGGCCCTCTCATGCGAGTTTGAGGGCACCTCTCTCGTATCTCAGTGACTGCATATCTTTCCTTTTGCCGTTCTCACTCTCAGTGTAATCTATTGGTTATGAGAGGAGGCGGCAGACGGGATTGCAACCCGTAATCCGTGCCAAAACCTGTGTGGGAGGTTCGCCCCACCGAATGTGGGAGCTCTGTCGGGACCTAGGCGAGGTTCTGGAGGTAGAAAACGGTCAGGTATAACTTTTCTTTATCCTGTGTGAACTCACTATAACCCTATTTTGATTGCATCCTTCTACTCTATCTGATGTGTATGCGTACATTCCCTTATGATTTTGTTTTTTTTTTCAGAACTTAATCAGATTAATTGGGAACGCATGCGTAAAATTCAGTATCTTCTTATTCTGATTGAAAACAGACTAAGGGATGAACTGGGGGAAGATGGGAGGAAGGCAGTATTGCATGCGTTTTACCGGGTCAATCAAAGGTTGGACATTGTTTCTAAACTGAATGACACAGTGCTATGTTTTATTGCTTGTTTTCTGAAGGACCAGAGATTGTTTCTAAGATGAATTACCCGATTGCTGTGTTTATTTATGAGGGCTTGTCTGACTGATCTTCGAGACCAAGCATTGTTTCTAAGTTGAATGGCTTGGTCTATCTGTTTCTTTTAGGTTTTCTGACTGAAGTTGGGTTGAATGGTCCAACTTCATGCTTTTGTATGACTTGTGATCGACTGGACATTGTTTCTAAGTTGAATGGTTCAGTCTCTTGTTTTATTCTGAGGGAGGATTTTGGTGGAAGCTAGGTATTGTTTCCAAGCCAAATGATTCAGCCTAAAGCCACGCACTAAGCAACTGAGTATAATTGAAAGTGTTTTATTTATATTTGTATATAAACAGACAGATGAATATTGTTTCCAAGCCAAATGATTGAGCGTTAAGCTATATCATCAAGAAAAGAAGAAAAAGTAAAGAGAAAAATTGAAAGTAATCTGGGCAAGCTGAGCATTGTTTCTAAGTTGAACAACTCAATCCCTTGCCCGTATTTTGAAGATAAGTCAGAGAGCTATGGAATCTTGAATATTTAATAGCTCCGGGCGACTAAGAAGGATATCTAAGTTGAATGGCTTAGTCACATGCCCAACGAAGAGAGAAGTAGTTGTGCAACTTGCTCAGGTATAATCTAAGGCATGCTAGGCATTGTGTCATAAGCTGAATGGACTAGCGTTATGCCATTTGTAAGATGGGTAAAATGGATAATCATCTGGAGGATCAATGAGTTATTCTATGAGGAAACAACTTGGGATTTTTGTGAGAGTACTGACCAATTGCGGTATGGACTTGTATGAGATTGAGCGAGAGCGCTACATAGTGTTCATGTCAACTTTGATAAGTAGTTGCTTTAGATGCTCGATACGTGCTAGAGCTATAGGAGTTAGGTCAATTCCTGCATTTCCAAAGTCAAGTGTATTTTTCATAGGAGTTAGTTCAATTGCTGTATTTTTAGGGATAAGTTTATCTTCTCATACTTAGCTTTGTACTTAGTTTTTTTTTCGGATTTCCGGATGGCCGAGGACCATCCGAAATATCCGGCCGAAAAATTCACCCCGGAAGAACCCGAAAAGAAATATTATGGGGTCTGTGCAAAATAGGAGCAGGACTTCTTCTTGGGATCTAGGGATGCCAAGTGGTTTTGATCAACCCCGGGCAACACCTCACGGTGGTGGATCCTGAGTAAGACTCATAGATTTTGAAAAAAAATGTATCGATCTGGGTTGTCGGTCCACGAAGATCGCCAGCCTAGATCAGGCCAATTATGAATTCGAAATCGCACAGCCCCGCTGCTCTTCCTCCCCGTTGATCGCTGCCCTTCTGCTCGTTGCCCCGATGTTCCGCTGCTGCAGGCATAGCCGCCTCCACTGGAGCCATCGCTGGGAGCTGCTCCTCTACCCATCGCTAAGGTGAGCCTCCTCTTCCTACTCTTCTTCCTCCTCCTTCCCTCCTCTTTTTTCACCTCCTCCTCCTCATCTTCCACCTTACTCCTCCTCCTCCTTTTCCTCCTTTTTCTCCTCGTCTTCCTCCTCCTCCTCCTCCTCCTCCTCCTCCTCCCCGTCCCCCTCCTCCTCTTCCACCTCCTCCTCCTCTTCCTCCTCGGCTTCCTCCTCCTCCTCTTCCTCCCCAGCTTCCTCCTCCTCTTCCTCCTGCTCTTCCTCCTCGTCCTTCTCGTCCTCCTCCTCCTCCTCCTCCTCCTCCTCTTCCTCCTCTTCCTCCTCCGCCTCCTCTTGCTTTTCCTCAACTTCCTCCTCCTCCTCCTCCTCTTCCTCCTCGTCCTCCTCGTCCTCTTCCTCGAAATCCACGGATGTCATAAATCAATTCATGCGAGAGGAAGAGGAGGAGGAGGAGTAGGAGGTGTAGGAGGCGGCGACTGGCTCCCATCCCCCGCCTTCATTTTTTTTTAAAAAAATCCAATCAATCAATCAAGATCCGTCGATTTTGACGGCTCTTTCCGTAATTGACGGATCAAATGAATGAATAGTTGGTTGATTGATTGATTGATTGATTGATTGATTGATTGAAAAAAAAGAACAAAAATACTGGAGGGGAGGAGTGTCAGCCGCTTGATTGCAAAAAAAAAAAAAAAAGGTGAGGGGAGAGGAGTCAACCGCTACCCCAGCGTAGTCCTTCTCTAGTGGTCCTCCTCCTTCTCCTCTTCCTCCTCCTCCATCGTCTCTTTCTCCTCCTCCTCCTCCTCTTCCTCCTCCTCCATCGCTTTTTTTTCCTCCTCCTCCTCCTCCTCCTCCTCGTGCTCCTTTTCTCCCTCCATCGCTTCCTCCTCATCCTAGTCCTCCTCCTCCTCTTCCTCCTCCTCCTCTTCCTCCTCCTCTTTCTCCTCCTCCTCTTCCTCCTCCTCATCATTTTCCTCCTATATGGCCTCCTCCTCCTTCTCTTTCCTCCATAGCCTCTTCCTTCCTCCTTCTCCTTCGCCTCAACCTCATCCTTGTCATCTTTATACCGACGCGCGAAACACAACACCTCATCTTTTGGGGGCAAACGGAGGGAGTGACGATAACAGTCTGAAGGTAGTCAATGCCTCGTCATTTAATTAGTAACGCGCCTGAATCAATTAACGAGATTCCTTTTTTTTTTCAATCAATCAATCAATCAATCGATCAATCAAGATCCATCGAATTTTACGGACCTTTCAGTCGAAATCGACGTATCTTGAATGAATGAATAGTTGGTTGATTGTTTGATTGATTGATTGATTAATTGATTGATTGATTGATTGATTGATTGATTGATTTATTGATTGATTGATTGATTGATTGATTAATTGATTGATGGATTGATGGATTGATGGATCGATGGATTAACGGATGGATGGATTGATTAATTCATTGATTGTCTGATTGATTGATTGATTGATTGATTGATTGAAGGAAAAAAAAAAAGATGGAGGGGAGGGGACTATGTGACACCCGCGGCCTAGGCCGCGGGCATTTCGACCGCTGCGGACGAGAATCTCGGTCGCGGCCGTGATCGATGAGAACCAATCCGCGGCCTGGTTTAAAAAAAAAATAATTGACCCCTAAAAATACGTAAAATATCCTAACCCTTAAGCAGCATTGGCCGCGGGGGGAGGTCGATGGTCCTCTCCACGCCGGACTTGGGGGTGAAGTTTTCCTGCGGGGCGGCGGATGGAGCCGATCAAGGGCGGGGGGGCGGGTAGAGAGGCGCGCGTACCGAAATGTTAACAGCGCACCAGGAAACGAGAGAGAGCGCCTAAGGGGCGGGGCGGCGGTGGGCGTCGATGCGAGGGAATATCTCGAAGCGTCCGCCGTCGATAAGCGCGCGTCCTTTTTTTTTTTCTTCTTTTCTTTTATTTTTTTGGCGTGTTGTTTCCCGCTTTTCGTTTTTTTTTTTCTTTTTTTCTTTTTGCCTCCTATGCCGTGGTCCCACTAGCGAAGGGGATAGGATAAAAATCCTGAATCGAACTATGTTTTATGCAGAGATACAGAAAAACAGTTCTATCTCGATTTCCTGCTCCTGTCCTCGAACACGTCCCGATTCAGGCAATTCGTTTTTTTTTTGTTTTTGGCGTGTCGTTTCGCGCTTTTCGTTTTTTTTCTTTTCTCATTTTCATTTTCTTTCTCTCGATTGAAA